TTATTGACAACGAAACTGCAGTAGTCTCTTTTGTGAACTGGATTATAATTGGTACGCAAGATCGAGAAGATGATGGACGACAATTTTTCCAAAGTATTATTTTTTGACATGAATTAGATTTTGGAGTATACAACTCTAAAGGCACAAGTGAAGTTATCATAATATTTTGGTCATTAAAGTCTTCAAACGAACGCTGTTTATAAGCTGAATGCCCTGAACTTCCGTCAAAGCCCCACTTGCAGGTCAAAATCAAATTTGAGAGGCAATTTGAAGGAAGAGTGCGTAAAACAGGTTGTACGACCTGTACTAAACGATTTGATAAGTGATTAAGAAGGGATTGCAATGGTACTTAAGCACTCTGTTCAGTAATTGTAATGTTGTTTGGATAACACCTTTTTTTAGCTTCTATAATCTTATGATAAGAAGGATACAGATCAATGCCTCTTTCCTTAATACCTGATCTAATATTAAGATATTGGTGTTTTGTCAATTTGTTTGATATCATTAAAGCCAAGGCTTCATCTTCAGTATAAGATGTGAATGGCCTCACAGATTGAGAGCCATCACCCACTTTGGAAGATGCCACTTTCGATACCAAATTTGCACCAAAGCTATTACCTTCCGATCAAAGATTCACAGATGCAGCATATGCTAGTTCAGATCCGGTTGACTTGAGTAAACTATTAACTCTTCGTTTTTTAGAACGCTCATTGATATCTTCGAAGGATTTCGGCGGTCGTCCTCTCTTGGTTCCGCCATTGCGTATGGTATCATCGTCAGAAGGTATACCTTTTTCAATCACGGATGTTTCGCATGGAAAAGTGACTGTTTCATTTAACCAGGCTGCATTATTTTCTAAAACACGATTCCAGTGTCTGTTACAATTAATCAGTTTTCGAAAAATCTCTTTACAGAAATTATGAATAATCTGCAAAACCTTTTTTTCAATTCATCTGGACTGTTTTGATATTTCAATTTTTCAATTACATAATTTTGCAAATTAATTCTTTGGCATCATACCTCTTAGCTTCAGAAAGCTTTAAGAAAAGGAATAAATCCCTCTTTGTTGGAGCAAAAGTCATTATTTTTGAAATTTCGTAAACAATTGATCTTACCCTAGCCTCCTATCAATGTCACCGCTTAAATTGGTTTTAGCAAAAAAATTTTTCTTATTGTGGAAAAAATGTTCGCATTTGCGTTTGCGCATTTTTGCGCAAAAGTTTTAAATTGCGTATTGTAGTATAGATGTATACTAATATTACCTATATGGTCTTTCGTTGGAAGCTGATGGAAGGCTGAAAATATTCGATTCGAAAAAATTATTTTCAAAAAAAAAAATTTTTTTGCTAATTAAATGAGAATCCCATCAATACAACAATGCATATTGATAAAAAATTTTATTGATGATATAGTTTACAGTAATAATGAACTGTTACACGAAAAATTTTATCGAAAAAATGTTCGTAAATAAAAAAAAAATACATTATATTTTTATAGGATTTTCGCCACTTGTAACTTTTAAGGTTAAAAATTTGTATGTAAACGGAATTGAAACTAGCTAATACTTTGGGGAATTATAGTTCAAATATTCAAGAATTGATGAGCATTAGAAATTTTTAAATCCAAGACTATTGAAAAATTGGATTTATGGCAGCATCCGGATCACTGTGCATTGCCATCAAAAGTGCATCATCATAAAATGCTACCATTCAAGATTCAATTTGACAGAGCACACGGCGACAAGAGACATTAACAAAGCCGACCACACGAGCCAATTTGTGGCTTCCGCATGCCGTGCAGGTGGAATTTTTGGCCCCACAGCCACTCAGTAGAGCCACCTCCTGAAATATTCCAACCTGCCACTTCACGTAGACCCGCAAAATTGCGGCAACTTCAACTCATTAAAAGTAGAGAGGAGCTGGCACAAAAGTTGCGTCAGCCCGCAGCACGTTCTATGTGGATATTTTTTCGGACGACTCCATTGCGAAATGCAATTAGATGTCACCTGTAAATATCCAACTGTGTCCTTTTCTGACGCATAAATTAGCACAGCGGCAGGTACTAGCCTAACAACAACAAAAGCAATTAGGCCAAAAGTTGTCCACTAAAATTAAGCATTAAATTTGATGGCGCCAACTTTTTAATTGTCTGTGATATTTCACAAAACAACAGACGAGCAAAACCCTCAACGGGTTGGAATTTCAGGGGCCAAAAATGGTAGCAAATATAGAAACATGGCTTAAATGTGTGGCATGGCATTTGTCAATGGCTTACTTGGGTGTATTTTGGTGTGGACACTTTTGATAAACGAAATGGTTTTCTAAAAAGGTGTAACAGACATTTATGAGTAAGGCCTAAGTCGTTTTTTAGAGTACTTTTATAACGCTTTTTTGACAGCTTTTACATCATATATAGCTAAGCTCTTTGAATACATTAAAACTTGTTGGAATTTCATAAAATTCTTTCTTTAAAAAACATGTTTATTAGCCTCACAGTTAAGCCATAAACCTGTCCTATAAAGTGACACCCTAGCAATCACCTTATACATCAGCTTGTACAACATTTTTAAGTTTTATTATAATGAAATTCAAGTCAAGTGGCTCACCAGCTGACATTGATGGACAGGATCCTGTGCCAGGAGTCTCTACAAGGGGTTATGTGTCAGCTGAGCGGCAGTTGCAGTTGTCAAGCTACATGGGTGCAGTCAGGCCAGAGAGTGAGCCCTGAACTTGACAGGACAAACTTAAAGTTCAGTACAGGACACCTCGTGAGGGGGTTAACCCCCGAGACCACAAGGCCTCGTCGTTTGGCTAATTAAGTACTTGGCCAATGGCTCTGGTCCTTGAACCGATGGCACTTTGGATGGATAAGCTATACCAACTTGATTTCACTTTACATCAGCTCGTGCGTGGCTGACACGTGTGATGTCTGGGGTCTAGACTCTTGTCGGAGCGATTTACATACGCATGAGTTAATCCAGGACATTATCATCGAGCGAACTCTAGATTCTATCAAGCAAATTGCTTAGAAATTAATCAAATTCATATAATTTGTAATATTATTTTAAGCTTACTTGAAGTTTAATAGGTTTTAAAAATATTAATTTATGCAGATACCACGAAAAGGAGTTCTCATAAATCAATGATAAGTCTTAAATCCGTAATATTTAAATGAATCCACACCTTCTTTAGAAACCTCTCTGAATATATTACCAATCCCTGCTCAAGGTCTCAACTATGTATTTAGGTTTATGGCTCATTAAGGCCTTTTTTGGCAAGGAGTTGTGTGCCTTTTGTCTCGCACTGGTCTAGACCAATTAATAATATTCCGTGTCAAGTGCTAAATTAGACAAAAGCAAACCAGTGAAAATATCCTCAAAACGAGTAAACTAAATAAATCCGCTGGCATTTGTTTCATGTTCAAAACGGGGCGAACAAAAAAGAAAGTGAAAACTGAGCCAACAGCCGGCAAAAACCTTCTTTGTGTTCTGGTTAACGAAAAACTGAGATTAATACGCAGATTACAGCCAAGTTATAATTACTGTCGAAAATAGAAGCAGAAGCCAAGTAAATTGAGCTGTCAGGAGAGTGCAAGTGAAGGCAGGCCTTGAGATGGGTTCGTTTCGGTTCGCAGCAAAAGTCCAAAGTCCCGAGGTCTGGGTCAGGTTAAAGTTTACCATCTTTTGGCCAAATGGTTTAAGCCAACTGTTTGCTCGCCATTCAAATATTCGGGCAATTAGGAAACTGTTCTTTGGGGGAAGAAAGACTATAAACATGCAAAGCTCACAGAGCACGTCCTCAAAAGGTGATACAACACAGTGGTTTCACTGTAAGAATTTGGGTTATTTTGTGTACAAAAAATATATATTTAAAAAATATTTCAAATTTACCAAGAGTTGTACTTGAAATTTGGTTTAGTTTCTTAAAGACTTGAACTTCTTTGTTTATAATCTTAAACCTAGTGTCTTTATTTTTCTCAATCCACTGCTTGTTTTTGGACCATGAAAATTGCGTGTAATTGCCATACCGAAAAGCGAAACTTCGACTCAATGCCAAGCCAAAATGGCGTTTTATTTTTCGCTTGGCTATGAACTCAATTAGCTGCCGTGCGTAGCGCAATTAAGTTGTTGCCACGCCCACTTCGATAAGCTAAACTGCCATCCCCACTATTTTCCACGGAATGATCCACCTGATGGCACCTCGCGATGTGTATGCAAAAAGCAAAAAGAAAGAAGAAAAAACATTACACGAAACGCCTTCGACTTTGGCTTAAATTAATTTATCACGTGCCGAAATAAAGCAACTTCCTGACGGCTTCCCTGGCCTCGCTTTTGCCTAATTAATTGAATTCGAAGCCAAGGAGCCCCCAAAAGTTGGCCCGAACAAATGTTATTCACTCACCAGAAGTTCATGTTTAAAAACTTAAGGTTTAAGTTTCGCTTTTACTTTAAACAGACAAAAGAGGGAGAAAGATATCGGCTTACGCATAATGTCCCACATTCTCGACTTTTTCTTCGTCGAGTGCCGGGTAATTATGTCCCCATGTAAGCTCCAGGCAGCAGTAATCAGTCTACAGATTTTCCGATTTTCCTTTCCTCTCCTCTGATTTCCTTTGCTATCAGTTTCATATCATTAAAAAAGTGTACTTTAAATATTCAAGAAGACTTCCAAAGACATGCATTTAAATGAGAGAGAATACATTGAGGAATTTTAAGAAAGATATAATAAATAAAGCACTGTAGAGTTCAGCAACTGCAAGAGTATTCATAATTTCCCGAAAAATACCAGTAATATCCTGCATCAAGTATACGCCAGGGTAACCAAGGTCAACGTTGAAGCAAATGCAAGACATTTACTTAAGCAATTAGCTCGTTAAAATCGTAGCAAATTTGAATTATACCCTTAAATTGCCGTGTCACTTGTGCAAAATCGATTACAATACCAGGAAATTGAATTAACAAATTTCAAATAGGTATAAATAGTGGATTCAAAACCTACAATAGAGTATATCCAATAGCAATATGAACATCTTACAAGCTTTCTTTCTGATCTGCCTGGGCGTCATCTTCGGAAGCGTTGATGCTCAAATTCCCACCCGACAGGAATCATCCAGGGACAGGGCCTGTGGTGCAGGTCGCTACTACAGTGAAGCTCGTCATACCTGCTTGCCCTTCTAAGGTTCTTTCCCAAATTCAACGGAAAATATTAAGATCTTATTAAATAAAGCCGAAATGAAAAATTACATCAATGAAAGTTAAGAATGTATTCAAGAAAATATAGTAAAGAACATATATAAAAGCATATATCATTTTAAAAGGCTTTCTTTCTTTCCTTCGTCACTTTTTTCGTGGTAGCATGATAAGTTTTCCAGGATGCAGTGCTCCGCTTCCGCTTTTCCACTCACTCGCTTAATTAATTCACCCCGAACAGGCGGGTTGCAGGGGCATAAACCAACTTGTTAAGGCTTATTAATTTTGCAGGCAGCCGCGACTGCAGTCATGTAAACATGGTCCTTCAAGGAGCAGCTTCTTTCAGCGAACACAGAACTTTGCGTAAAAGACAGGCTGCTAATGGGTGCAGAATATAAAGCTTCTTTTTGGCACAGATTTAATGCACTTTAGCGCGGAACCTAGCACATCATGCACCGTCAAACACACAGAGATTTTTATTACAAATATTTATTATCACCTGTGGGCAAATCTACGGACAGCCAATAAAATGTTTTTTCTTCTATTTGCCGCTGGCATGAACATTTTATTTACTGAGCGGGCTTTCCGCTTGATTATTTGTTTCTATTTGATTTTTTCTTTTCATTTTTCACCTGCATATTTGCATTGCCTTAAATTTCCATTATAGTTTGTAAAACGCTATTTGATATGGTACGTTTTTTTTTAAATGTCAAAAGAAGTGAAACGATTTTAGTTAAATTTGGCATTTGAAAATGCGGAAATTAAATGCGAATTTTTAGTTGATCCTTACTAGATTTACATTCAATGGAAATTTAGTCTATTTTCATCAAAAATTATTACTATTTGCTTCAAATTATGGTCACGTTGTTACCATTTGTTCAATTTGAAGGTAACCAATTGAAACGTCAGTATTTGCCTTCGTATTACAATAAATTTCCACTGAGAGATATATATGTATCATAATGGTTTGGTCAACAAGCGTTCTAATATTTAAGCTTCTGTTTTATGGCCATCGACAAATGTCCAAACTGTGACAGCTATTGTGACAGGCAGCAAAACCAATTGGGGCTGGGCAGCAGTCAGTGAGTTGCAACCCCTTTTTGAATGCCGTTTAGTCCTGCGGACAACGTTGCAAATTAGTGCGTCCTGAAACTGACTCCCTCAACCTCTCCCTCCACCTCGTTTCCAGAAATACAAACAAAACATAAATTGTAACGAGCTTGTCAGGGCGAAACTGCCAGAGCAGTGTAACAATAACCTTCACATCGACATCAACAACGACGACGCATCATTATATAATTGACTCCCTGATGCCCGGCTGTCGAGCAGTTTATCACTTTGTTGTTTGGCTAATAATGGAGCTGCCCTCGATATGAGTTGCCTGATTACGTTGATGATGATGCTGCGTCGATGAACCTCATCTCGATGTGCTTGTTTTGGCCAGAATCTGGCGTACACACTGCGTATGCGTAATGCTGTCAACTTCACTTGACTTTAAATTGAATTTCATTTAGTTTTCTTTTGTCAAAGCTTCACTTTTCTTTTGCAGAAATTCACTTGGAGATGAAAGGATTTTTGATGAAGATAAAATATTATGTTTGTATTATTTTAGAGAACGGAAAACTTAGCAAAGCTTTAAGGTATATAAACTATAAGAAAGGGGACCAGGAGTCTATTGTAGTTGTCACTGTGCGCTCTTTAATATTAATATAACAATAACTAATATGGTCTTATCTTGATGTCAAATTAGCTTCGTAATATAAATTTATTCTAACTTAATCTTACTAACTGAAACAATGGAACGAAACGATAGTCAACAGCTTTAGTATGCATTTGCATTAAAAAAATGTCTGTTAAAACCACAAAACTATTCCCATTTAAAAGCATAAATCATTAACAATTTATATAATTTAAATTTGCTATCAAGTAGTATTTTATTATATTTTCCGATGACTTTGCGCGATTTAGCTTGCGGTATAAAACAACTCATTGTGAAGGCCCTCAGTTTTTTTTTATAAATCTTTGAAGCACTTAAATTTTATTTCCATGAACTGAACCTTATTTTTTAATGTCACCTTGTTAAAATGCAATTTGAGCATGTATGCCAAATTTGTTGGTTGTAAAGTTAAAAAAATATATATGAAAATACTTTTCCCTAGACACACACTCGTTTTTCACCTGAAGTGACATTGATTGCTAAACCGAGTTCAGTTGAGGTCATCTGCATGTGCCACACACTTGAATTCTTACATCACCGGCTTTCTTTGTGGATTTTCTTGGTTAACATGAAAATATTTTGCGTTAAGCCACAAAAATATACATATTTTCTTTGCCACATGTGGTGGCGGCTGTCGCTTTTCACTTTCGCAGGCTGGTGAATTTTCCCAAGCAAATATTTGTATGACGAACCTGCCGAGAAGTTTTCCCTGTGACACGACCACATATCAAGGACTTTTCCGGCAGATATCAAACAACGTGACTTGCCAAAGGTTCTTCACTCATTGTTGATATTTCAAGCGCTTAAATTGATTACGAAATCTTTCAGTGTTTTCCCCTCATAATTATACCCTTACCGAGGGATTTTCTAGAGTTGAACGTACATTTTGTGATTTAATTTTATATTTATGGGAGGAGAAAGTATTGGAAAAGGGATAGAAACAAACTTAACTGAGCTGATAACATTGAAATTGTGTCTTAGAAATATTTGAAAAGTATATATTTAGAAATTAAAGTACAAAAACAGCTTCAGATCTTATTAAAATCCCTTGCTGACTATAAATTATTACATTATCCCCTGGCTTTAATAAAACTATTTCGAAATGCTTACAAATTGCCCAAATAAATGAAATGGAATTATTGGCTTCGCAGAGCATTCGGATGCCTTTGTTAAAGGCCAACTTTGCTATTTCGCTTTGCATATCGGAAAACGGAAATTTAATCCGTTTACTTGGCAATTTGGGCGGATGTTTATTGTGGATTCTTTGGTTTGCGGCTCAATCATTTTAATGGCATACTCGTGTTAGGCCTTGTTGGAAATTCAATTCATAGATACACCCACTCGGATTTCACTTTCACCACAAAATTGCCATGAAATCTTTATGCGATTTTCATGATTTCTGTTTAAATTTTTCTTTGTTGAACATTAAAAATTAATTAAAAACTGTCCATAACACAAATAAATGAAATGCAAATATCTGTTATTTGCATCAATGCTGCATTTCAGTTAATCGATCAATTCACGCTTTGTTAAATGTTGAATTTGCTTAAGCTGCAACTTTATTAGTGCATTTAATTGGCATTAATTTAAGAGCAGCTTATAATTCAATTGGGTTTCAATTTGAATGGGGAAAAAAACTATAGAAAAAGTGATAATAGTTAGTATAACAAAATAATAAACTATTCAAAGGTGATTTGTTTATTAAATAAATGAATATAGCTTTAATAATTCCCCACAGCAAGTCATCTATAATTTAAAAGATTTTTCAAACCTCATTAAACCTTATTTTCCACGCTTAAAAAAGGTTGCCTTTCAATTTGTTCTCAATCAGAATTCATTGCCAAAATGACTGTTATTTATCATCTATTTGGCGATGCCATCAGACTTATGACCGATTCGCAGGACAAAGGAATCGAGCACATAAAATATGCGTATCCAAAGGGATATTCAGATATTGCAATACGTATACGCCGTGTATGCCGTTCAACTTTTCGCGCGGGAAACTTTAAATGAGGAAAGCAAGAGCGGGGAATGGCAGCCAAGTGCTGTGTATGCGACATCCAGAGTTCGTGGAGCTGGAAAATCCATTTATCATATGGCTGCTGTCTGTGTGTGACTGGTTTTTTCCCTCCTATCTCCACTCCTTTCCATTTTTTTGTACATTTATATGACTGAGAATGTAACGAAAGACACTTGATGTGGGATATTTACATGAGAAAAACTAGCGGCAGGTGGAAAACATAAATGATGACTCCACAAGTTGACATTTCGATGGCGGCATATTCAAATTACACGCGATGCGAATACGAGTATCTCTATGAATATGCGCGGCGGTTATAGTAATATTTTTTCAGTAAATATATGGGTGTATGTTTTGCTCCTACCGCTGATGATAATGACAACAAACAAATCTCTGATAATGATAAGGATGATGATGAGAATGCTATGATCATTTATGCTCTGCCTGTGCCCATGTGTGCGTGAAAATCAGTCAAGATACGAGGACAATGACAGGGATTTTCGTTGAGACTAAGGTCCTTCCTCCTTCAGGGGGAAAAGCATTTACGCATGTATGAATATTTATGCCAGCGACTGTTTTTGTTGCTGGCCTTCAAGTCTAAGATGGGCTAACCAATTGAATGATTTGTGGAAAGTTGTACCATAAATTAACCAAGTTAAGTGACTTGCTTGAGTAGCTGTCACGGCAATGTCGGGATTTATCTAAAATGAGCACAAATTGGGGAATACTTTTAACCTTATTCGGCGAAATAAGCCACAAGAAATGTTTATTTTTTTTGGAAATTTATTACTTTTAAACTATTCTTAATCTTATTTTTGCTTTAAATTAATATAAATATTCATATATTTCTATAAGAAAGAAGTAATTTCTGTAAAATGACAAATTTTCCACCTGAAAATCGCACTCATAAATCACCACAAAAGTGCAGCTGTCATACCGACCATGTCAGGCCTCTTAACACATTCAAAACGCGCTGTCGCTGTCACTATTCTGTCCTGTCCCGTTCTGATCTGGTTCGGTTTCGGTTTTTGGCCAGAAACCATGGCAAACTGGCCAAAGTGCCGCCGCAAGCCACACAAACATTCACCGAAAACATGCAACGGAATCCACAAAATGAATTGCAAAAATCATTTAAAATATTTCCATACATATTCGCAGAGCCAAACGCCTGTCACTGTGGCTCACCGAACAAACAGACGCAGATTTTCCGATTTTCCTTCCAGGCCGCCCTACCCCCTATCAACCTCGTCACATGTCGCCAAATATTGAATTCAAAAAGCCAGGCGAAATTTTTTTTGAGGACGATAACTCTATATTTGTTTGATAAAAACAATAATTTTCAACTTGTTGCAGGAAATATACAAGTTTTATTGTTATTTCTGCCTTTAAAGGGTTTAATAATTTTAGTCATAAGTCTGTAATTAATAATTAACCCTATAAATCATATATATTCTTGATCAGCATGAAAAGGCGAGTTGATCTGGGTATACTTTTTATAAACTTTTTTTTTTGATAATTTTTTCCAAATTTTGTAAGGGGTTACATCGTTAATATTGCCACAAAAAATTGGCTAAAAATTTAAAGTTTAAATCTTTAAATCTTAAACTAATAAAGCAGATTTGTTAGGCTTCTAAAAACTAGCGCAGGAAAGCTTTCCGATTTAAAATAAATTTATTTTTGACTTAGTTGTGAGTTTTTTAAACATTGATATTAGTGCAAAAAGCTGTCTTATAAAATTTAGTAACATTTTCTGTCATCTTCAACAATTGGAAATATCAAAAATCAATCAATCATTTTAATAAGTATCAAGAAAAATATACGTTCCAAATAATTTTAAAGGTCAGTCTACCTTGAAAAATTGTGTCACTAACTAATTTCTTTTTGGTTCAGTTAAATATTTAAATTGCTTGTAGTATTAAATTAAATATGTAAATATGTGAGGCAAGAAACGAAATACATAAGTAAAAATGATTAACGGACAAAAGATTGCGTATTTGCATTTGAGATAAGCCTGCTTTGACGGCGAACCATAAATTCAATGCTCTTTCTGTTTATAAACTAGTAAATAAATAGAGTAAAATCATCAGCAAACTGGAATGATTTCGGCAAACGCCATGACGTAGTGTATATATACCAAGACGAGGTAGAGAAGCTTCCGAGGCAATCACAGCCTCTCAATGCTCAGTAATCACTGAACCGCCTGCCAGATCACATCTAAAATCTCAATATATATATTTCCCAATGAATCGTGAGCGACATCGCCTTATTCGTTTAATCACCTGCCTCTTGGCCGCTCTTCCCAAAGGTCAGGGTCACAGTGTCGATAGTGTGAACTCTGTTCGTGCAACAAGCAACCTGAGTTGTCCGGACTGCAATGGCACTTCCAACCTGCCCGAGGTAAGGGGCAACAAGTTCCTGTACTTTGGTTTCGGGAGCAACATGTTGGCCCAGCGGATACACATTCAAAATCCCACAGCGGTGAGAATAGGACCCGCACGACTTCCCAACTATCGCCTAGACTTTGCTTTTGAATCAAATCGCTGGGATGGAGCTGTGGCCACCATTGTGCCCACTCAGGGGGATGACACATGGGGCACACTCTGGGAGATTGATCTCAGTAACCTAGCAAGCATTGACAAGTAAATATTATACTTTACAATTATATTTAATATTTATTCTATCCCTCATTTACATTTGCAGCCAGGAAGGCGTTCATCTGGGCATTTACAAACCTCAAACTGTGTACGTCAAGCTAAGGAATGAAGCTCAAGAAACTCCAGCCCGTGCTTATTTGCTAGTTCAGCAACCAGAGAGTAATTTGTATGAACTAGCCCGGGATTTAATTCCAGAATCCCGTCAGCCCTCAAAGACCTATCTACAGTGCTTGGTTCGAGGAGCTATCGAGAGTGCTGTTCCCGAGGACTATGTCCAGCGATTGAGAAGCATTAAGCACAATGGTCATGTCATGGCCAAGCTGGAAAGACAGCTGGAGCTACAGGATGTCGTTTTGTAATAACCAAAATTGAACAGAAAATGTACTACTCCTTGGAAAATGGAAAGAGAATTAATATTTTATAAGAAAATGTCAGCAAATACAATTTCTTTTAAAAATATTAATACCAAAATCAATGGCTGGAACCTCGATTTTGATAAGCATAATTCTCAACAACGATGTGTTTTTAATTGTGAAAACTATAGGGTAATCAAAAAACAACAAATTCTTCAATTACATGTTATTTTCATTATTAAGATAGGATAAAAAAACATATTAATTTTATATTGTTAAGTTTATTTTAAATTTATAATTGCAAAGCGACACCTGGCGACATTAATAGCAAGCAACGAGTTTAAAGTTCAGCCGCACATATCAATTGGCGCGATGTTCGTTTGTTCTAAAACATTTTTATAGCAGTTCTAAAAATATAGGTCTATCCAAGTCGCAAACCCTTATAGCTTTTGATAAGAATTGAAAAGAAAGGCAATGTTTTCATTGTTCTCAGTGTCAGTCAGTACTATTCCATCTGTCGGTCCGAGCTGAGTAAACAAATAAATGTTTGACACGTGTACGTTTTTAATTAAATTTCGGAACATCAAGTACAAATACACAAGCTAAATTATAAGTTAAAACCAGTGAAAATTAATGCCAAAGTAAGTATTTTTTTATAAACAAAAACTTCATATGTTTGCAAAATATATTTATGGAGACAACAGCTGATATGATTTACAATTTTAAAGCTTAATGGCAAGAATGACGAGTGAGTTTTAAGAGCTTTTCCAAACAGCTGATTTCGTAAAGAATAACTTAAAATTAGCAAAACTAACAAGAGTATTTTATGTTAGGTAATTTGTTTTTTTTTCGGTTTTTATACATATAATTTATTTATTTATTAGTTTTATTTTGAGATAAAGGTTTTTAGCCGATTTTACAACCAGTTCTACTTTATATTCGTATCAGTTTGAGAAGTATTGTTCTAAGAATGCTTACAGTGGCAACAAAACTGTAGCTGTATAATTAATACATTTGACTTTTTTAATATATATTTATAATTAATTTACAGATCCAACTACCTCATAAATATGGCCAATAAATTTTATTATTTTGGCTTTGGCAGCAATATGCTAGCCAGTCGAATTCATATACAAAATCCCACAGCCAAGAGAATAGGAGCCGGTCGATTGGAAGTAAGCTATAAAAATCATTAAGTACTGAGTATCTTTAAATTATGAATAATTCAATTAACAGAACTACCGCCTGGACTTTCACACAGGATCTAAACACTGGTTAGGAGCACCAGCCACTATTGTACCCACTCTGGGAGCCCATGTTTATGGATCCATTTGGGAGATTGATATGTGCAATCTTAAAGATTTGGATGAGTAGGGATTCCCCCTGAATATCCTTTACTTCCTTTTAATATTAACCTAATTATTTCACAGCCAGGAAAGTGTTCCTCAAGGCGTTTACATTCCAATTAGTGTTTCGGTTCACTCTCTAACTTCAGATACGAGTATTACTTGTCGCGCCTATCACCTCACAAATCAGCCTCAGTCGGCGATACATGCCAACGGTACCCAGGATAATAATATCCCTTTCGATCGTCAACCCTCCAAAACATATCTCAAGGTGTTGGTAAAGGGAGCCAGGGAATCCGGAATCCCCGAAGATTATATCAAATGGTTAAAAGGCATCAAACATAATGGCAAAGAAGTGCCGGCAATGGAGAAGAAACTTGAATTGGACAAAGTGGAACTAAGTTCCTAAGGAATTAACTAAATAGGGAAATAAGACACTCTTATAAGAAGATTACTTAATTTTTACTGAACGATTGTTTTAGAACTGACTTATGTACAAATAAAATTACATGTGCACTGTATAGTTAAATTCTTCTAATTTGATTTAACATAATTATCACTTATACACTTAAGAATTCTGCCAAAATTATGATATATTTCTTAAGGCAGCAGTTTATATTTTAAACTCTATACTAGTATTAATTTTTGTACAATTTCTTCATAACCTTTTTCCCAAACTCCTCAAAACTAAACTCTTGGCAAAAACTTTGATTACCTTCCACCCGGAAAAATACTTTTGTCCCCAAAACGGAATTTAATTAATTTGAATCACTTATTTATGATGATTACCACCAATTTCCCGTCTGCACCCCATTCAGACAATGGCCGAAAATTTTGCGTTTCCAAAAAGGAAACAAAACTTTTGAGTTTTTACCCATCGACGACGGGCACACTCGCCTAAAGTGCAATTAAAGTGCAATTTAGTGTGCACTTCAAAGCTGCCGCCTTCAATGATGATGCTGATGACGATGCTCCAAGAGTCTAAGGAAGCTCATCTTGAGCTGGCCGATCCCTGGCTCCTGTCTTATTAATTTAAATTTGAAGTTTTCGGTGGCACTCACTCCTTTTCTCTACTCTTTTGAGGCGTCTAGTGAATATTTGCATATTGTTTGGGGGAAGACGCACTTGGCCACTCGGAAAAGTCCAAATTGTGTGTGCCAAAGTAATAATAAACATAATTTCCTGTTGCAGGAGTTTTCAGCAATATCTAGGCACTTGGAAAAATAAGTGGAGATTGTTGTAATAATATTATTACAATTTACTACAATGATTTAAGAAAAGAATAAGGTACTGAAAGCAACTCAAACAGATCCTTCATATCCTTATATTTGGAAGTATTAACATGTTTTTTTAGATACTACTTTATTTTTTTTAAGTGCACTTATTTTCCCCAGTTAACAGCTAATTCCAGGAGCTCCATCTGCACCAGCTGACCCTCATTGCCAAAAAGTTCCAGACCCTCGGTGTGTAGGTGGCAAATAAAAGTCTGCCCTCTGTCGACTTTAACAAAGTAAAAACTTCGCTCTGAGCACGAGCTCCTGGCTCTTGTTGCGGTTTGTTAACTTTTGTGCAGTTGTAAATTAAATTTGCAAACGGTCGGTAGTTTATAATCGTTTGGGAATTGAAATGCAGTCGGAGTCGATTTTTGGCCCAAGTCTAAAACTTCTCTTCTAGCTCCTTGGCCAAAGTTTTGGACCAACATTTTTATTACATTTGTGGCGCCAACCGCCCCCATAGTCGCAGTGTTGGTTTACACTCCTGGCTTTGAGCTTGAGCCTGACTGCACTCGTCCTCAACTTGGCCATTAATTATTTAAAATTGCACGGCGCCATAACCATTTAGAGGAAGTCTCGTTCTCGCCAGTAACATGTGCCAACAGGCCACAAAGTAAGCGACAGCACGGAGGGGAAATGCAACACAAATAACAACAGAACGAAGCCCAGGGCCCTTGTAATCATAAAAGTTAACGATTTAACAAAAATAAAAAGGGAATACGAAACCGAAGTTTGAAATACCCTGAATAAAATTAAACTGGGTATATTTTTTTGGAGGCAGGCATTTTGATCCTTTAAATCGGATCGCAATTGAACGCTCTTATTTATAAGAATTTATTAAATATTATTAATGGTATTCAAAGAGGCCTTCTTAAAATGATGTATTTAACTTATAAGAATCCTCACCTCATTCTTAATTTTATAGTTTTTATTCATTTATATTTATATATAAGCCCCTTCGATTATTTAAACTACCTTTTTGAGTAAAAATCACAACGACAAGTGACGAACAGATGAAAAGCAGAGAGAGCTACACCACAGGACGAAGGGACATCGAGGTTTTCTAGAACGGCCTCAGCTGCTTCTGTCGCATTTTGCGGGCAAGGGAATTTAATTAAAATCAAGCACTCGCAGCCCTTATTTGGACCATTGCCACACCTTCAGAGCTAAGCTCGTCGTTTAGTTTCAATCAAAGTAGCAGCGACAAACAAACACTCCAAAAAAGGACAAAAATTTTACGCAAATTGACAACAGAAGCGACGACAAAGGAGGTTGGGATTCCATGTCAATAAAAATAAAAACTGTTTCAGATGGGACGCATCGTTCTGGCGACGAACTCATCTTGTCAGTTGGTCGTAATTGAAACTCATTAGCGTGCATTTTAGTGGCAATTCTGGAGCTATGAGAGCCGAAAGGCAACCCTTTTCCCGGGACTTTTCCCCGGGTGTCCTGGGATTTCCCCCGTTACCAACACTCTCGACTGGCTCCGGTGGTGGTTATATGTGATGCGTGCGGTTTATGTGGTAAGTGTGTCATCATTATGACTGCCATGGGTTTTTACCCCATTTTTTGGAGCCTTTAGTCTGTGAAGGGTGTTCGATTTTTTCTACTTTTTTTGCTAAAGGGGATTTTTCAATATAATAGCAGTAAGGTGGATAGTCCTTAATAAAAAGAATTCTCCATTAAAATATACAGCATTCTTTAAACCAAAATAAGAAAACATCAAATGGAAGTCAACTCCTCTGCCGTTTAATTCATATTTTTAATTTGGTATATTCATATTCAAGTAAATACAACATTATTAATGGTTTAATTGTTAATATAGTTTCTCAATCTTTTAATTAAAAATACAATTTACACTCATTTACACAAAGCGACCACAAATCATCATTAATTGGCTTGTCAGCGGCACAAAGGATTAAAAATCGCAATAAACCGCAGCCAAGCGAGTCAGAAACTTTGCCAATTCGTTGTCGCAAACTACAAAAAGGACTCACACACTTTACACTTCACACTCATAATACTCACTCTTCTCTATCCATCAAAAACCTAATAAATTTTAATTGAAGAACTCGAAGCTAGTCCCTGTAATTATGCCACACACATGAGGCGTCAAAGGCCACACGGGACTTGAAGGGGTTAATGGAAACTTTGGAATAGTAAAAGGAAAATGAAAACCTTTCAATGGACCCAAGGTAAATTCAATTAGTCAGCCTAAGAAAATCAGCAGAGAAAAGGAACTGAACTTGATGGCTTATTTGCATATAGTTTCTACAAGTTCAAAGTGTTTCAAACTTTCTAATGATAGAAAACTATTAATTACCAAAGTAAGAACACTTTCGATTGGCAACCTTCTTCAAGGAAAATGGAAATTGAAAAGTAGGTAGAGAAAAAAAGGGTCAGACAAGTGGCTATAATCTCTGGGGATTATAGTACAAAGTTAGAACAATATACTGGAAGTTTAAAGAAGTTTTAAATTAAATGCTTGACCCTGCAAAGAAATTGTGAACTCACTCAAAACATATTAAAAACATAGAGCTAAGTTAGATCTTCTTAGAATTTATTGAACTTATTTTTCCTATATGGTTAAAATTTAAAAAAATCCCACATATCATAGGTAAAGAGTTCTCCCCCGTTCTTTTCAAAAATAATAAAGAAAAATCCTTGCACCGGAAGAGACCAACTCTGATGGGAATAATTGCCCCCGGGGGCTGGGATGCACAAATAAAACCGAAAAATGCAATCGGAATCTGTGTTGCAGACACGCTAATCAAATTAAGCGCAATATTTGGTTTTCATATTCCATCGTCCCACGGCGGAAAAAGGATGAAATGCAACTGCGGACTGGCCGCGGGCATTAATTACACTTAAATGTTGACCACATGCCAGGATTTGACAGAGACACAAAGTCAATAACTTGGCCAAGTGCAACCCTTCTCCATCTCCAGCTTCCAGCTTCAAATTCAGCTTTAGAATCGTCGGAACTCCAAGTCCACTTTTGGCTTTGTCCAATTTCCCCTGAGGCTGCCAGCGGCGGTTGCATTTTTTGACAAATTCGCTCGACACGCATGCAGTGTCAACAAGGCGTGGCGATATTGAAAGGACAAGGACAAGGGGGCTGTGATTAAATCATTAAATTCATACGCTCCATGGGTTGCACTTTTCTCATTTTATAGAGATATGCACTGGAAAGTTTTATTATATTTTTATACCCATAAAGGGTATTATGAAAATCGGAATACAATATAATATAATTGCCTGAGAAACGGTTGTTAAATGTAGAGGATCAGTAAGTATCTTTTAACAGTTATTCCAATGACCAGTAAGTAACTATGATCAGTAAATAATTCTGAACATTAAGCATCTATGAAGAGTAATTAACTATGATCAATAAATGTCAATGAACATTAAGTAACTATGATCAGTAAGTATCTATAAACATTAAGTAACTATGAGTAGTAAGTAACTCTGAACATTAAGTATCTATGACCAGTAAGTATCAATGAATATCAAGTATCTATGATCAGTAAGTAAGTATGATCAGTAAGTAACTATGATCAGTAATTAACTATGAGTAGTAATTAACTCTGATTCTTAATTATCTATGACCAGTTAGTATCTATGACCAGTAAGTTGTAAAAGCGACCATGGTAATAAAGAATTAAATTGGAATATAAAGTCTAGGCCTAGGTCGGATACCACCAATAACTTCTTCCTACATAATATAAATGTCATGGTTAAGACTTACCGCAGTAGAGGACACGTCATTGTTTACTTCCTTCCACTGTAGTGACCAAGAATGGGTGGCTTTATCCAAGTGAGCTTCTTCCTGGTCATCCAGATGTATTGCATTGGCCACGTCATATTTTTGGGATCGAAAGGTAATCACTAACACTATCACTTGAGATGTTAACACTAGGTACCCCTAGGACAGACTGAGGCGCGCGGGCCCTCGGCGCCTCTATTTATAGTCCCCGAGCAGAGCAGAGCAGAGAAAGTGAGTGTGAGTGGGTGGGAGAGAAGCAGTTGCCTCTAGAGATTAACATAGAGCGATTAACATAGCTAGAGAGGGGGAGAGGCAGAGAGGAGCAGCGAGCTGATATTTCATTTAACTCTGATCGGTAAGTAACTCTGAGCAGTAAGTAATTCTGATCAGTAAATATCTATGAACATTAAGTAACTCTGATCAGTAAGTATCTATCACCAGTAAGTATGTATGATCAGTTACTAACTTCGAACACTAATAA